GCATCATCCGAAATGAGCCAATAATGCACATTTCTTCAATTTTATTGGCTTATCAGTGTTTGATTCTATGCCAAATTATACAACATTTAATAAATATCTGTTATCTACTGTATAAAGATCTTCAGAAGTATAAAGATGGATGATAAATATTAAAAAGTTACTTAGAGCAACAAATGGAAGGCAGTTGCGATGAACCATTGTCGCTCAAGTGCAAATAAAGGAAGGAACATCTTGTCTTACAAAACATGATGTAGAGAGTGAGTTCAGACCTCATTAATTACTTTAATGTATTAATCTTGATCCACAATAAAGTTAAGCTTACTAAATATTTTGTAAGCTTTACAATACAATGAGAGTTAACTTGAAACTTTTAATTTCAGTTGTCAAAGAGTGTTTCATTATCTTTGCTAGACGAAGCCCAGTACAAGTTGCAGAAGTTTTGGTCTCGTTGATAAAACTAATAATGGTGAAAGGTTTTACTGCGGTCTAATATCGTTGTTTCCTTAAACTCAAAACTTTTTCTCAATCATGATTAGAAGAAAACGAATACTTATTTCATGAGAATGAAGATTGTAGCCAATAGAAATTATTCGAAGTAAATAATTACTGATTTCGTCATTTTGACAAAAAAAAAATTCAATTACACGATTTGATTGATCGCTCCTTAAACCACGGAAATTTTTTCTCAAGAATTTGATTTCCAAATATTTCGGCGATTTTTTCATATCTCCTTACCTTCTCACCTTACTTTCCTTTTTTTTTCCTATCTCTTTTATTCCTCTTTTCCCTATTTTTCTCTATATTCTTCCTTTCTCTTTCGTTTTCTTTTCCTTCTTTTTTCTTTTTTTCCTGTATTCTCACTCTTTCTCTTTTGAGCCTTTACACTTCTTATTTTTGTTTTTCTTTTTGCTTTTCCTTGTTTATCTTTGTTTTTTTCCACATCAGCCGCTTCGTAAAAATTTTCATCATCATCATCATCATCATCATCATCATCATCATCATCATCTTTTCTTCATTTTTTTCTTTCTTCACTTCTTGTTCTTATCGCTCTTTTTCCTTGTCCCTCCTTTTCACTTATTCTTTACAGTTTTCTTCAACTTCCTTTGCTTTCTTTTTTCATTCTTCTTTTTCTTATTCTTTCTACCTTTCTCAAACTGCTCTTTCCTATTGTTTTCTTTCGTTTTCTCTCACCATATTTCACACCTTCTCCTCCTCTTTCTTCTTCTTCTTCTTCTTCTTCTTCTTCTTCTTCTTCTAAATCTTCTTTCTACATTTTTTTTCCTCATTAAGCATCTTTTGGCTCTTCCCTTCTCTTTTCCCACCTTCACTTGAGATAAATCGAACTTCCACTTCTAGAATTTTAATAGTGTTTTTCTTCAGTTTTATTCACACCGCAAACTCCTGCTACCTGCTCTCACTTATACCTGTGCCTACATCGCCACTATCGATTGACCAAGACTTTTCAAATGATTTCCAATTTTCCAAACAAAAATTAATTCAATTTTCAACACAATTGTGTCATTAACCGTTAAATTATTGAATTGTATTTCGAAATTCGTACAACTTTGCATTTCTTTCATTCATGCTTTCTCATCTCTCTTTCTCAAATCATTCTTATACTTTTTTCTTTCCATTTTCTTCTCTTCTTGTAATCTTTCCTGTTTCTTTTTTTTTTTTTACTTTCACTCACCATTGTTCTCTTTGTTCAATTATCTTCCAATAATTGGTTCTTGTCATTTCAATCATCTTTTCTCTCTTTTATTCTTGTTATCAACTTTACTCTTTTTTTCTTTAAAATCTTCATTTATCCTTTCTCCTCATTTTCTTCCTATTATCTGTTGTTTTCATCCAAGTATTTCTCGCTTATTCTTTATGTCAAGTTTAAGAAAAATATGGACTTTTACAGAACTTGTATAATTATAGTGATCAGATTTAATGATCATATTTTGACATGCACGTTTAGGTATTTAATAAACCCAACAAAATGGAGGAAATGGAGATGGAAGATTGTGTTGCGTCAATCTTCCAGTTCGGGAAGTCAGCAATAATACAAAATCCAGGCTTGTACTTTGGAAATGACAAGTAATATTCACCTATATCAGCCACAACAACGGTGAAGTTTCTTAATGTACGTGTACATATGTAAACATATATATTCATAGTTGGTCTATTACGAAATACTAATCCATTAACAACAAAAATATGATTAAAAATATAAATAAACATATATATATATCTTCATATATATATATATATATATATATATATATATATATATATATATATATATATAATCATATTTTCTTATATTTTAATTAGATTTATTTAGTAGACCAACTATGAATATATATATATATATATATATATATATATATATATATATATATATATATATATAGAATCATAAATGGATGTAAATGGAACGTGTGTTACGCGGCAAACGTCAAATATTTAAATTCTCATTTCTCTTTTAGAGGAATCGAAATCTTCCAATCTGCCACATGAAATAAAAAGACATTCACTATTCGTATCACTAGCGGTCAACTACACCGCCTCGGATATACCCATCTTCTTAAATGTCGCCAGGTCCATTGTGTTCAGAAACGAACAGGAGACTTCTGGAAATAACGTGTCTTCCAAAGCAATAGAAAATTCAACGGGAACATATTTATGTATATTACTATTAACTCCAACTATTATCATCTATGTTGTTTATATATTTCTACTGAGGCATACTTCAATACATATTATATTTATTGCACATTTAAGTAAATTTCACAAGGAGAAAGGGTGAGTTCAAAAGGAGGGAGTTGAGAAAGTGAGAGTTGAGAAAGGAGGAGTTGAGAAAGGGTTAGTTGAAAAATGGTGAATTAAGAAAGAGTTGTAAAAGGGTGAGTTGAGAAAGGGTGAGTTGTGAAAGGATGAGTAGAGAAAGGGTGAGTTGAAAAAGAAAGAAAAAGTGATTAGAAAAAGAATGAGTTGAGAAAGGGTGAAATAAGAAAGGGTTAGTTGAGAAAGAGTGAGTTGAAAAAGGGTGAGTAAGGAAAGGATGATTAAGGAAAGGGTGATTTGAGAAGGGGTGAGTTGAAAAAGGGTGAGTAAGGAAAAGGTGAGTTGAAAAAGGGTGAGTCGAGAAAGTGTGAGTTGGAAAAGGGTGAGTAGGGAAATGGTGAGGAGAAAGGGTGAGTCGAGAAAGGGTGAGTTGGGAAAGGGTGAGTAGGGAAATGGTGAGTAGCGAAAGGGTGAGTAGGGAAAGGATGAATTGCCAAAGGGTGAGTGGGAAAAGGGTGAGGTGAAAAAGGATGAGTAGGGAAAGAGTGAGTTGAGCTATGAAGTAGTTGAAACTGATTTCTCAGCAGTATTTTTTTAGTAAAATCAACACTTTGATGTACCCGCTGTGGTACCAGAAGTTGTGTACTTCATGGCTTCCATCATCCTTGGATGAGTTATAAGGATTTGTATCAACATCGTACATTGCAAAATTATAGATGCTTTAAATGTTAACGGTGAAATAAATGCAGAAAGTAATGTAAGTTCTTAAAAAATACATTTTTGAGTGTTAAATATCACAACCAATAGTGTATCCGTGTAAGACAATGTTCCTTCATATTTTGCAAAGGTAACTATTGCTCATCTATCTAAAAATGGTCTTCAAGAAATCCAAATTAATGGAATGGTCACCAGCTTCGTCTTATACAAGAAAATATTTCAATGGAAAACTTACAGACCATCATTAAAGAATGGAAAACAATATTCAAGCAAATATGATCTCTGGAAAAAATATAAAAAGATCACATAACAAATAAAATAATTATTATTTCGGTCTATGTGATGTGCTAATCAGATATATGTTTTGTGTTTATTTATTTCTAAATAAAAATTAATGCAACATTTTGCATGAAACTGACACTTTGTTGTATGAAAATAAAGTGTCGCAGCCGACACTTGAGTTTGAACATAGTTCGCCAGAGAGCCAACAGAGACGATCCCATTATTGAATTAAGTAGACCACGTGACCATAGAGGAACCGCATAAGTAGGAGATAGCATGACGTCTAATTGATCTGCATTTCTAGTCTATTCTCCATTAATATACGGATCACCATTTCCGCTCTATCCTCTATTACTAAACTAACCGCTATTCTCTACTCAATTCACTATGCTATTTCTCTTTTCGGATCACTACACGGATTACTATTCGAGTGAGTATTTTAGAGCAAGTACTATTAGTGAGAGTGATATTTGAAGGCGTCTGACACCAGCATTGTTCAACGGCGTTACTATAGTTATATCTGCGATTACAACGAGCATTACAAAAGTGACAACGAGTATTCGTTGATATCACAAAACAATTCCAATGCATGTTACTATGATTATTTTTATTAAAGATACTTATTTTAAGCTGAAAGTCAAATGATGTATTGCACCTATAAATAGACCATGAAAATGTTCCCAACGTCGGTTGGTTAATAACAATTTTTTCTGAAAATATTGACTTGCATAACAGATAGTGTCTATATATAAGGATGTATGTGTGCCTGGTGCAAGTGTTCGTAACTATTCGTTATCTAATATATATATATATATATATATGTGTGTGTGTGTGTGTGTGTGTGTGTGTGTGTTATTGTGTATGTGTGCGTATGTTATTGTGTATGTGTGTCTGTGTGCATATGTTATTGTGTATGTGTATGTAGGTATGTGTCCATGTACAAAAACTACTATAGTACTTGCTCCCACTGACATCACTTCTCGCTATATATACATGTATACATATGTATGTGGGTGTTTGTGCGCGTGTGTGTATGTGTGTGTAAAAATGTGTGTATAGGCGTGAGTGTGTATATTCGTAGCGTCTCAAATGAGTAAAGCACATGAAAGGCGTCACGTCTGCATATTTCTGAATGATTCAAATGCAACGAAAGACAAGCTAATGTACAACCTCAGGCAATGCCGTCTTCAAAGAGTTACAGCCATCAATGCCATGCAAAAAGAAAGAATCTGGGGTAAAAGGGAAAGAAAATGTACGTTATTTTCCCTTTTTGCTTCTTTCTTTCAATAGTTTTCATAATTTTTTGTTTTCTTTCAATTTCCTTCTTCCTCCTTTAGTTGAAGTTTTTTCTTCAGTTTCCTTTTTTCTTCAATTTCCTTCAATTTTATTTTTCCTTTAATTTCATTTTTCCTTTAATTTCATTTTTCCTTTAATTTCATTTTTCCTTTAGTTTCATTTTTCCTTCAGTTTACTTTTTCCTTCAATTTCTTTCCCCTGATTCTTTTGCTTCGTTTTTTTTTTTTTCTCTCTTCCTTTCTGGTGTCTGTTTCTTTCAGTTTTTCATATTTTTCGAATTTCTGATTTCCTTTTTCTTTTTCCTTTACGCTTTTTCCTTTTTCTTTCTTTCACTTTTATTCCTATTTTTTTCAATTGTTTTATACTATTTTTTCTTTCGTTACTTTATCATTCTTTCATTGCAAACATTCTTCTGCCTTTTATTCTTTACTCCCATTTCAACGCTTTCCCAGCAAAACACCAACAATTTTATAATTCCATTGACATTTCAGCTATTTTCGCTTATTTTTTTCATTGTTGTTGTTGTTTGATTTTCTGAAATTCTTGTGTATATATGAAGAAAAATTCAAATCTAAATTTACTTAAAACCTTTCTGCTTTAGAATCGAAACTCAACATTTATGGGTCATTATTACAAAATTACTAATGCAGGACTTCAAGTAAAATCTGCTAGTGATGTCAAATTAAACAATAAGATTTGCCAAAGGTTTCTCCCTGTTGTACAAACATTCATCAACTGCGATTAAAGCTTCCAACAGAATTAATACATTTTATCTGATAACACGTGAATTATACATTTATTCTGACAATAAGGAAACAACAATATTCAACAATAAAACAAAAATATGCGGCCGATCTCATTGATATTTAAATGATTACTTCAAAGATTTTCATAATAATGGGACCAGTATCGACAGATGATATTCTTCTAAAAAAGAGGGAAAATAAAAACAAAGGATAAGTAAAATTTAAAACGAAAACACAAGATTGAAAAGAAACAACTGTTTGTTGAAATCTGTATTGAGATCAATAGTTGAAAATTGGGAAAAGAGATGTAATATAATTATAACACTAGCGCTATTTAATACCATCTAGAAATAATATTGATAATAATAAATCTATTCAAATGCTCCCATCAGTCTTGCTGCGATCTTCTTCAGGTGACATTTCTTGGAATTCCGGATTGAACACTTTATTTAGTCCACAGGCGGTAGATTATTCTAATTCAATGTACCCGATATCTCGGCTTTAGTTATTTCGCCTTGATAACTCTCCAAGTTTTTGTTCTCTCCGCTGAGGCTAGGAATTGAACTCACAATTCTTTGGGTCAATTCATTTTTTGGACCAATAAACCAACGATTTTATCCACTGGGCCATGTATCCAACAGTCCGAACAATGTAAATAGTGTAACTAGCTTTCAAGTTAACTATTACCACAAGCATTTAAGCGATGCCGCAAAAATGCTCCCAGCTTCGAAGTTGGGTGGATGGAAGATGACAGTCTTCCAATCACCCACTTGTTCGTCTATGTTTGACAAAAAGAGACTCCATAAAAATCCCTTAGTTACTTAGAGGATGCTGACAGAAAGACAGGGTGATATAATTAGCAATATCTCTTTCCAAAGCAATATAAAACCCCAGCACCCTCCGGATACCAGATATCCTCCTGCAACCATTGTGGAAATACAGCTGGTTCCATGTAGATCTAGCTGGGAATCGTAAGACATTGAAAAAAAAACCTGAATCTTTCATTTGTCAAGTGAGATCAGGATATACATTTATGTGGTGTTTCAGTTTCCCTTTTTTCTGTCTCGGTTGAATTGATATTTACATGGCTCAATCTCCCCGATATTAACACTAGAGCGTATATCATTCCGAAGGGTATAAGTAAGATCTGAATACAAAAAGTCACGACTGAATCTCGAACACGGTCCTTTGATTCCAGTTTCTGTACTGATAACCAGTACGCCACCTTCACACGTAAAGCATTGAACGGACCCATCGCTCCTCCACAAACTGACATTAATTGCCGGATGAAGTGGGCACCATGCATTTGAGGCTAACTCTGCTATTGATTGAATAGTTATTAAATTCCCAGCAAAAGTATCATCAATAACCTTGCCTACAAACATGTCTACTGACAGAAACCAGCTCAATTCATGTGGTGGTAGTAGAGCAATGAGTGTGCGTATGTGTCTACACATGTGTGTATGAGTGAATGTGATCAAGTCTGCCAGCGCAAACAGCCGACCTGAATAACGTAAAAGCCATCCCACCTGTCCCTACAAAGAGAACATTGCTACATTGGAAACGCTGCAATCTTGACATTGAAATAGACAGTATGAAAATTGCGTGCATACGCGTGCTCGAACGTCTGAATGTGTAACTGCGCATAACCCAAGATTATGAATATGTGTGTGTATGTACGAACTAACGTGCATACGCCTGTATGTATGTGTGTCTATTTATATGTGAGTGTCATCGCAAACAAACACAGAAGAAAAATTTCCCCCTTCACCATACACAAATAATCAAATACAAAAAAACGCATAAATAGATCCGCATTTGAAAAAAATAAACCCATTTGTCTAAAGATCGCGAAAGCATGAAACCCGGAGTTTACAAACTACTATCTGCTCAACCGCATATGTTAGCTCTGTTATAGATAATGAGCACTTTCACTAAATATCGACCAATTGCGCTCTTACAACATTTCATCATTCCTGGAAGATCTTCTAAGATCACACTATTAAATACCTACCTACAAAAGTGATAGAAAGAAAAAGAAAAAAAAACCTTAATGAATTCGACTAGATAAAAAAAATTCTCATCACTCATTAGTCTGATGAAGTCCTGAAAGACACGTTACAAATAAACTTTTGCACTTTGTCATACATTTCCCCCCATATATATATATATATATATATATATATATATATATATATATATATATATATATATAATAAAATATCCCAGAGACTGAACAATGCAGAAAGGGACTCAACATTTAAATTGTTCAAAATATATTTCTACTATTATAATTATTTATAATTGCTAAACCCTTCAACTGCATTCATTAGCCTCTTATGGTCGTAGCCACATTTTTATTGACAATTTATGGTTCACAGTTACTCTTCATTTCTATTGCTACATTTCATTTTTCCCCCTCTACTCGTGGTAGTAGCATCGTATCTATCGACTCCTTCTGGTTCACATTTCCTATTTTTTCCATACAATTCGCTTTTTTACCCGTTCATATACGCTAACCAGATGACAACATGGAAAAAATCGCGTTTTATCCTTCGAAAAACTTCTTCAGGTTAATTAACATTTTTATCGATGGAAAATCAGGGGAGAGAACGAAATAAACCTAGAATTACTTATAAACCTTCATCGAGAAAAAAGATGGACTTAACTTTAACTACTTTAACTTAACTTTAACTGTAAGCCTTAAAATTTTTGTGTCCTATGAATCGAACTGCAGTCGACTTCATTCAATTTTCTTCATCTTTTCTTTTTGTTTTTTATCGATGTTATTTTCTAATTTTAAAATAGATATTTTCTATTTTGTTATTCAATTATACGCTCTTAATCCGATATATAAAGTTGTATATCATATTCTCCTGTATATAATGCTAAAAGCATTTATTTGTTCATATACTTATATTTATGTATTAGTTTTCTCATACATATTTTGAATTCGTTCTTATCTATTCTTGTCTGTTCATATCATATCTCTATCGATTTATCACTCAGATATTTTCCTTTTACTCAACATCTATTCAATCTAAAACCCTTTTTATCGTATGTTTTTCTTCTTTTCAAAGTCTTTAACAGAGAAACGAGGAACAGGCGAGCAAGCGGATACTGTCTTTATTAAATCCAACGATCTCTTTGTAGCCTTGCGTAAAAACAAATGATTGTTCAGATAAGTGTAAAGATGCCCGTCAGATTTCGGCGATAGATGTGGATCTTGTCAAATTTTATTACTTGACTGTGAATAACAAAAAAAAAACCTGACCACGACAAAACAAAACTCCAAGTTTGTCCTAACTTTCTTTTATTAAGTTCACATGTTCATCATTATTTAGCTCACACATCAAAGAATTATTAGCAAGAGACCCATCTTCGAATCTCAACATGGTCGATTTGTCAAGTTCATCTTTGATAAGATCTGCCCGAGGAGACGATCCCAGTTTTCGGTCCCGTTGGGAATGTGTCCGAAAACTATGCCACTATTTGACCCACGCCATGCTGGTGAAATTGAGTAGTTGAAACTGCTCGGAAGCCATCGATGGTTCTGAAAGACATCGTGATCGAGGGTTTGTACGCACTACACTTGTTCAAATTGATGATCATTCCAGATTATGCGCTTTCTCGGGAGATTTAATTAAGTTTCGCTCATCATAGATGCAGCATAAACTCTGTGGGTGTGGAAAAGTTACAAATGTGCCAGAGCAAGCGTCTGCAACAAGGATTAGCTAGCCACTATAGCAAACAGGCATACTTGAAAAAAAAACAGCCAGACATGCTAATAACTAGAAGATGTAAAGTCTGAAGTTAAACACGTGTTCATATTTTAAACGGGTTGAAATGACCCCTTCGGTTTATATTAGAGCAGGATTTAGTTTTCTTGGCTGGGGTTCGTTTTCATTATGCCAGTACTGCTCGCCAAATGTGTCTACTTTATTCTTATTTTAGACTCTGCGCACGTGAAATACGATTCTACATTAAAATATTAATGAGTTAAAAGCGATAAAGTGAGAAAATGATACTGGAATTGAAATCCAAGACACAACAGAAAAAAAAGGACAATTGGAAAACCAATTGGAAAAGAGCAGTCATCAACGAAATAAGAAGATCCTTCGAAAACATCAGAAGACTAATAGAAGAGACGAAGAGCGCCGAAAGAAAAGCGAAAGTTCTCTATTCCC